TGTTTTTATAGACGAAGAGGTGACAATACGTCATCACAATTTAAACTAAATGAAAAGAGTGACGTTTACAGTGTTGGCGTGCTCTTTTGGGAGATATCAAGCGGTAGGCCTCCTTTTTATGTTAAAGGTGAAGGATATGACATTGGTTTAGCTATAGCAATTTCACAAGGACATAGAGAAAGGATTGTTCCTGATACACCCGAAAATTATGTAACCATTTATACCGGTAAATATACAAATTTAATTAAATTTATAACGTGAATATTTTCTTAGTAGATTTGTGATCTATAATATTTTATTTGTTCTTAGAATGCTGGGATAATGAACCAGATAAACGTCCATCAATGAATCAAATAGTTGTTAAGTTAAATTTAATTATTACCAAAATAATTATGAGAGAAAATGATCAAGCGAATACACGTGAATCAAGTCTTCAATCATCAGAACCACAACTTTATTATTCTAATGTTAATAAATCATCACCAGGAGAATTATCTCAAATTATTCGATTTGATCAGATAAATTATCAAGTGAATAATTCCAAAACAATTCATCATTTAGCTGATCAGGTGAATGTAGAAGAATTAGAATCAAATATTGAAGTATCAGATATGATTTATGATGATACTGTTGAAAGTTTAACAATTACGTATCTTAATAAGGATGAAATATTAAACGCCTTGGGTGGATTACAAAGATATCGAAAATTAACTAAACTTTATTTCTATGTAACTGAAATAACCATCTTACCAACTTTACCCAACTCTTTAACGATACTTAGATGTTATAAGACTAAAATAAATAGCTTAAAAACTTTACCCAATTCCTTAACGGAACTTGATTGCTCATATACTCCAATAACTATCCTATCAAATTTACCCAACTCCTTAAAATTACTCAATTGCTCTTATACTCAAATAACTATCCTCCCAAATTTATCCAACTCCTTAATGGAACTTGATTGCTCTTATACTCAAATAACTTTCCTACCAACTTTACCCAACTCTTTAACGATACTTAGATGTCATAAGACTAAAATAAATAGCTTAACAACTTTACCCAATTCCTTAACGGATCTTGATTGCTCATATACTCCAATTACTATCCTATCAAATTTACCCAACTCCTTAAAATTACTCAATTGCTCTTATACTCAAATAACTACCCTCCCAAATTTATCCAACTTCTTAATAGAACTTGATTGCTCTTATACTCAAATAACCATCCTACCAAATTTACCCAACTCCTTAACGGAACTTGATTGCTCTAATACTCCAATAACTATCCTACCAAATTTCCCCCACTCTTTAACATTTCTAATGCATTATAACACTAAATTAAATTTTCTACCACCTAAAGAAAGTGGAAACAATGTTGTTGACGAAGTTATCAGATATTCACGAATTAATACTCATATATTTAGTCAAATGGAATTTGTTTCTTATGATCAATTCAAAGATGTTCAATTTATAACTGAGGGAGGATTTAGCAAAATCTATAGAGCTGCATGGTGGAATACACAGGAAGATTATATAAACGTTGCCCTAAAACAACTATCTTATTCTAAAAATATTACTAGTAAAGAATTAAATGAGGTATTGATTTAATTTAATAACATTTTTTGTTACAATATGACATACTTATATTTGCATTAACAATTTAGCTTTGGAGGTATCTGGATCTTAATATTAATGGATCTCTTATGCATAAATATATTAATAAATATTATGGAATCACTCTCAATCCTATTTCTAAAGATTATATGATAATCATGAAATATTGTGAATCAGGTGATTTAAGACGTTATTTAACAGAACATTTTTATGATCTAGAATGGTGTGATAAGTTAGATTTACTGAATAAAATTATTAAAGGTCTTGAATATATTCATGATAAAGGGATTATTCATCGGGATTTTCATAGTGGGAATATCCTTTGTTATGGAGATCGTAAAATTCTAATAGGTGATTTAGGAATTAGTACATCATTGAATTATAACGCTTATGAAATATATGGTATTATTCCTTATATTGCTCCAGAGATCTTTTATGGACAAAATTATACTACAGCCTCAGATATCTATAGTCTTGGCATGATTATGTGGGAGTTAATGACAAGTAGAAGGCCTTTTTGGGATCAAGATCATGATACAGAACTTATTATTAGAATATGTGACGATATACGTCCTCCAATTGTTACAAATGCACCTGAGGGTTATATCAAATTAATGAAAAAATGTTGGCATCCTGATCCAAATAAAAGGCCAACAGCTAATTATATAAAAGAAAAAGTTGATGATATGAAATCTATTGAATTTTATAATTTATGTAAAACAAAAATTGATTTATCATCAGATATTGGACCTATAGTCACGAATCATTCAGGAGCAATATATAAAAGCAGACCATTAAGTAGAACTTCAATACTCTCAAGAAGTCATTCTGTTACAGAATTCGGTGATTATTTTTATATTTGCTTTTTTATTTTTGTAAAAAAAAAATTAAAGAAATTTTGTTGAATTGTTTAGATCCATTTATTGATTATTAAAAGAATATTAAATTCTCAAATGGTATATATTTATATGAATGATCATTTTTAACTTTTAAATTTTATTATTTACTAATATTTTTATTTTATTTTTTTTTTTGGAAAAATAAAAGTTAAAAGAATTACAAATCAAATGAATTAATTGATGATCACAAAAGCAATAAAAAAATTAGATTATCCGATAACTATTAAATATTTTACTTGATATATGACTGTATGACTGATATTTTGTACTAGTAATCATATAATATTTGTGCATAATGTTCTAATTTATATCATCAGTCCAGTAAAACTTAAACATATATATAATATATATAGTTACTCCTAGAATATTAAAATACAACTATTCTGTAATTATTAGATTATGTGTCAAAAGAATTGGAAATAGATATTAATGCAAGTAATTAATCTAATAAAGGTAATGTGATTATATAAATATTCATATTGATTATATTATATTTTATTATAAACTATTTATATTTTTTTAGAATATATAACCAGAGAATTGGATCTTGATATTAATACTTCAGGATTTAAGTCTATGGACCCTAATACTTTGTATCAAAATTTTTCCTGATGTGACCTGTATTATTTAACTATATATTTCATAAATGAGATATAAACCAAATATAAATATGGAATAGAAGTCGTGTTTTTTTTTTATTCTTTTATTACTTCATTCATTTAATTTAATCTTCGTTACGTCACTTTCTTGCTTATACACCTACAATTTATGTTGATTTCTTAAGTTTGAAATTATAAGATTAATTAGTCGCGAGTAAGGGGTTGTCGTTATCATTTTTATGCAAATTTTTACTTTATTTTTTTTTTATTTCTCTTCATTTTATTTGATCTCATAGTTCTTGCTTACAAACCCATAGATTATTTTTTATTTTTAAAGTTTTGCGACGGATGTGATTTTAGTCTTGACAGGATTTTAAGACCCAGCATATCTAATAGTCATCACATTACAGACAATGTGTAAGCATTATGAAAGAAATGAATCTCATACACCGACAAGCAATAAACAAGTTGGAATAAATTCAACATAATTAATTGACCATTCTGTTATGTAAAAGAATTTTTAATCAACTTTTTTTTTTTTGTTAAATCGATGAAATTTTTACTCCAATAATAAAAAAAAAAAAATTAAAAAAAAAACTACCAGTCAATCGTTCACGCTCTTAGTGTAGACCTTATATCTTTTCTAGTTCTTGCCATTAAAAAATTTGTGCTAAATGAAATAGAAAGTTTGGAAGGAAAGTTTATTCTGCAAAATTTACAATCTAAAGCTTGAAATAAAGTTAGAGATACCGGGGGGTGACAAAAATATTGCACGATCGAAAATGAAATATTGAGTAAAATTTTTTCTTAATAATTGAGCCACATTTTATTAGAATCATTTTGGATATCTATTGCATTAATGAAATATTTTTATTAATTGTTTAATTTAATATGTTGCAATTCTTAAATTGAATTTCAAAAAATCTCTATTTTTTAACATTGCGCATTATATTTTCGTAAATGCCATTATTCAAGCAAAATAAATTGGGTCCAGCATCTCGGAAATCATAAATTATATAAGATGTCATTAACTGACCTTATGTGGATACTTGCAGCTTATTAATTAGTAAAACATAAAAAAAGATAAAAGCTGATCCTTTAGCGAGAACATATAAAGTGCGAAGAATTTAAAAGTAGAGAATTTTTTCAAAATTAGATTTTACACTATGTATTACTCTAAAACCTGAACAAAATTTTTCATTAAGTTAGCTAATATGTTATTAAAAAATATCTCAGTTACTTATTAAAAATTTACAAAATTGTTTAATTCTTGACCGTGCAATACTTTTGTCCCCCCGGTAGTTCATGATTACATGTCTTAATTTAAGCCCCACGTGTGATTTTCTTGAAACCTGATATTATTCGATTCGATATTTTTATGAAAAATTTTGGTTATTTGATCTATAAATATTAGAAATTCTCAAGTAGTATCTGAATAGAAAGATTATTTCATACATTTAGCGATAACAGAATTCAAGCCGGACTAGTATTACAATCCTGGTCTTGAATGTCAATTTTCGTGTAGTGTGTGCCACAGAGATCGGGAAGTAATTTATTACAGGTTAGATATATAACCTCATTTAATCTTTGTATCCAAAAGTAGTGACTTTGCTCGAGCATATAGCACGCATATCATTATTCGGGTGCCGTCCAAAATCTCGAAATCCAAAATCTCGAAAAAATCCCGAATTTTCCTTTAAAAATTTTCCATGTATAACTAAGCTTGCTTTCTGATTAAGGCATATACTACGGCATGACATTACCAAAATAAATACACGGCCGTATATGATTATTATACTTTGTCCGTTACTTATATTAAAATACATTAAAAAAAATTTAATATGTTAATTATTTATTAATTATTATATATACTTAATTAAATTCTATTTACTATTAATATTAAATATAAAAG